ATGTTTGAATGTGTGCATGTATCACAGGTCTATGGATATCTAAGATAATAATAATGATTAATTGAATAAATTAAAACTTTAATTGAAAAACTTTATAATAACAGGCCTCATTGGTGTTAAGTTCAACACTAAATTACACACTGAAAGATTTATTGATGACTCCAGTGTTTTTTCTTCCTCTCTGCAAAGCGCTGCTGCTCCACAGCCTCTCACTGTGTCCCTGGACGTCCACCTGTCTCTCAGTGGCTCGTCCACTCAGTGCCTGTCTGCCAGCTTGTGGACATCTGTTTACTTCCTCCTCCATCAGTCGCCATGGCTGCAACCGCCCCCACTATCGCCACCAGACCCCCCCATCTCTCCGTCCCCTCCCCTCCCCTCCCCTCGCCGGCCGGCCTTCCCCACCCTCTCTCATGTTTCCCCCAGACACCAGCTGTGAACCACTTATGCTTACTGCAGTCCACCTCGTTCAGCCTTGTCATATCGACGGCCACGCAGCACTCTTTCTGTCCCTCGCTGCTTGTAGTGACACACTTATTTCACTATGCAAACTGAAACTGGGTTTATGTTCATTCAATTTGATAAAAAAACAAATTAGCTATGGAAAACTGTGCAAATGGTTACATTGGAAGAGGGTTAGATGAATACATCCATTGTATCAAATAATAATGCTGACCTGACCATGACACAACAAATCTGTTGTAGCCACCGTAGAATTGGCATTAAAAGCTTTTACTAACAGGGAGAACAACTGTGACTTAGCTGCTTTACCAAACTGTCCTAACATTTGAGAAGCAGAAATTCAATTACTTCAAATCATCTGTTATTATGTTTTAATTTGATTTATGAAAAGCATGTTTGAGGTCCTTTTGATTGAAACATTTCAGCACTTCACATTTTCTCCTTAAGAGCGCCAGATGTAACATCATTTTTTATGCCTCATTCAAAGATGTCCAAAAGGTTTCAAAGAACGTGTGAATACTCGATGTGTGCTGTGCTTTGAAAACCTTGGTTATACTATATATACAGGAGGATGTATTGTGTTGTAAGAATGTTTCCATTTCTCAAGGCAAAGCCTCAATATGAAAAGAATGTAAATGTGAAAGAATTTCTCTCAAAGGGGTCCTATTGTGCTTCTTAGGGTTTTCCCTTTCCTGTAGTGTTACTGTATATAGGTTTTTGTGCATGTAAATGGTCTGCAAAGGTTCAAATCCCAAAGTTCCCTCCTGAGAGTTTCTCACATAGTGACATCATGTAACACTCCCACTTATATTGGCTAGCGCTCCAACACATTGTACGTGATAGGCTAAGGGGCGGTACACCTCTTATTGATCGACCAATCACAACAGAGCCAGCCAGCTAAACAATCAGAGCAGACTGGGCTCTGGTTTCAGACAGAGGGTGAAAAGAGGTGCTGCTGCACTGGCAGTATGAGAACAATAAAGAGCTTTTTGTATATTAAAGGTGGGGTAGGTAATTTTGGAGAAACCAGCTCGAGATCGCTAGAATTTGAAAATACACAGCCGGAAAAAATCTGCCACTTCCTTACAGAGCCCCTCCTCCAACACACACGAACGCGCACATGACCAATGAGGGCACGAGATAAGTTTGTGCACAGATGGAAGGCTGACAGGCAGGTAGGCCATCTAGTTATTTTAGCCGGTCCGGCTAAAATGATTGGTCGTGCTTTTTACAGTACTACGGCTTCCACAGATGACATTTTTTTATGGATTTTTTGTCAAAGCACTTAAGATATTCATTGCTATCGGGATGTTAAGAGCATTCCATGGAATATAACAAAAAGTGTATCTCGAGCCGGTTTCTCAAACTTACCTACCCCACCTTTAAAGCATGTAAACATGTCACATTAGAGGCACATAATACAAATATGACCCTTACAATTTGCATAATAGGGCCCCTTTAACACTGCCTTAGGGGTATCACGGTTACTCTTGTCGGTATTGGATATACTGTCCAAGTCAGACATTCATACAAATGTTATGATGATTTCACAGCACTACAGGCCAGATTTGGAAAGTCACAGAGTAAATGTTCCTTTTTGGCATGAAGCGCAGTGTGGCAGCACCTGACTGAGGGCCAAATATCCAAATCTGCTCCTCCTTTGCCCCCCACCTGATAAAATACCTCCTACATGGACACTTTCCTCTCTCAGACAGCAGGCAGAGCAGAGCAGCACTGGAGCAGCTCACAGAGGGAGGTGCGGAGCAGCCACTGATCAGAGTGAATTAGAGTTATGCGTGACATGCAAAGGAGAGGCTCCAGAATGTGACAACAGCTGAGTTTTAAAGTTAAGCTTTTCCGCCTGAGGGGAGAGGAATAGACGACAAAGAAAGAGCGGCCTGCTGCGAAAAGAGTCAACTTGGCCCTATAAAACCGAGACCAGTTTATCCACTACTGTTCTCAATTTAATGAACAGGGTTGTGACAGTATAAATCTCCATAGCTGTCCTCAATCACAGCACTTGTTAATATCACTTCCGACAGTTAATATTTGATGTGCCAGCATTTAAATGATTTACATTTCTTACATTTCTTTTCATCTTTTGTGTATTGTTGTAATGTGGCCCATCCAACAAGACAGACTGCAAGCATTAACTCTTGTCAATTTATGATTCAGAAATGTTTTAAATTAAATTCTGGAATCTGCAAGATGTCTTCATACATGTGTAAAACAGCTGATTTAAATCTGCCAAATCAAATGGGATCTAAAATGGTTACTGTCATTTTTATTATAGCTCTGAATTCACAAAATGTATTGTAATTTGATATCAAGCCAGGAAAACCAGTGCCTACTTAAACTATCCTTTTTTGGACTAATACTGAACACTTGCTTGTTGCCATCATCTGTATTTAAAAAAAAAATGCCATCTGTATATTGAAAGAGTTTTCCTATCCCTATATGTATATTACTAAACCTATCAGTGTGAAATGATGAATGGTTTTGCGGAAAAAATACACTTTCATCTTCAGTTTGCCATAAAGTCAGTCATGTTTATCACACCAAAAATGAATTTTAAAGAACCCTATACTTTCTATACAAACTGTGGCCCAGTTTCGAGACCCAGAAGTCATTACTGTTCACGGACTATTACAACAATGGAGCTCATTTGTTTGGTTATGTTGGGTTTATGTTTTTCTTGCCCTACTTTGGCCTTTCGGGAGTTTCATGTGACACCTCTGAAGCTCTGAATCTCACCTTTCCCCGATGCCCTCGGAGTGTCCTGGCTCCTGCCAGAGCTTTCAGTGAAATCAACACCGCACTACAATAACTAGCACAAAGCCTTTTTATCAAATCTGTTTCATAGCCTTGAGGGATGAGAAATATATTCATCCTTAAGCTTGTCATTTAGTACGAAACAATGACCATAAATAATGGCTTTATAGCGACAAGGTGTTTTGGTGACCTCAGTTAGACAGTTATACCCTTTAAATGGACCTCATACCCTTATCCGTACGGTTATACAGTATACCTCTTCATGAGTGCACATGAAATCAAGCAAAATCAACCTCAAACTTTTGGCAACAGTCATTTCAACACCTGATATTTTATAATTACCATCATAATTAAAGTGCACCTATCATGCTATTTTTAGGCAATAGCATAGGTCTCAGATATATAAAAATATATAAAAAACATGTCTATGAAGTGTTTTGCTCAAAATACCAAACAGATCACCCATTCTAGCCATGCCTCATATCCCTCTATTTCACTTCCTGTTTCAAAAGTGCTGATTTTGGGTATAAAGCTTTAAAAAAAAAAAAATTGATAACAAATAAAAAAGGAGGGGGCTGAGCTCTTGCGGGACCCGGCAGCTACTGTCTAAACTAAATACTGCCGTGATGAAACGCCATATCATGGATTATCAAGGATTATTTCTGAAACAGTATGGAGCTCAAAGGCTTTCTCTCTTGCCGGTTATACCACACACATGCTCTCCAGTACAGGTTAGCTCTGAGTGTTAGCGATGCTAATGTAAACACCGACCATATTACGTCCAAAACAGTCGGGCATTGTTTCTGAAAGCAACTTTCTGATAGTGCCGTGGGTCCACATTTCCGATATTACGTCATATCGGACGCAAATCTGGATCAGCTCCGTTGTACCCCCGTTTTAGAGATTTGGGTACAGAGGAAAAGAGAGAGGGTTTTATTTTCTGACGCTGCTTGAGTCATATTTATGTATAAAAGACATCAGAAAGTTACTTTTGCATGTTAGGTCCCCTTTAAAGTGGACCTATTATGCTATATTGGAAAAATATATTGTAGGGCCATACCTATACAAACATGTCTGTGAAGTTTTTTGCTTAAAATACCAAACAGTTCACCCATTGTAGCCATGCCTCATACTGCTCATACCCCTCTTTTGCAGCCCTGTTAGAGAAACGCGGATTTTGGGTCCTTAGCTTGAAAAAAAGAGGAGGCGGAGCTAATGCCTGATCAGAATTGATTAGTATGTGTACTATCAAAAGCAAGAAAAGTAAGAAAGTAGGCTGAATGTGTCACACATATGAATGAGTGAAGAGTTAAAACACTAAATATGTTATTTTCTGACAGTGAAAGGCCCTTTAAAGGGAACCAGAAAGGAAAGTCAAAAACAAGCACAGTGGTATTGAAGCTTTTATCTTCCACCTACAAAGAGCTCACAGAACTTTTTTTGTTAATTGGACTCAATTCATTGCATGAACGCACACAAAAAGCCTGATAGGAAGATAAGGATTAAAAAAAAAGGAAGAGAAGGAGTAGGAGATTTACTTCCACCTCTTGACAGAAAGTGCCTCATGCCCACATATCATGAGCTCTCTAATGGGCTCTCTCATCTTTAACCCAATAACTGTAAAGAATAGCTTCATTTTAATTCCCAGCTTGTCCATGCACCTTTGGAGAGGCTGATGTGAGCTCCACCCCAGCCCCTCTCTCTCTGGTACCCGCAGCAGGGCCACAGTGGGCGGGTCCCCGGCTCGTTGGCTTTAGGACCCAGTGGCTCCTCCAGCAGGCAGGCAGCGGCTAGGCTCTCAGACTGAAGCAGACAAAGGCGAGGGAGAGACGGCGTGCCGCTATCCTGCTGCAGCATCGACGCACACATTCACACACACACTCCCTTCTCTCCGCAAGCAGCGACGCAGGTGAGTCCGCTTACTGTGTGGGATTATCCTCAGACTTTTCCTGATTTAAGGAGAAATTGAAAAGGGCATTCAGGGTTTGCTTTTGAGTGGTCAAATTGAGATGACATTGCATGTATTTGGAAGAAATTATTGTAGGTTTTGAGATTGGAGCAGGTGGATTGTGAGTAGGTGTGAGCACACACCCAACCCCCTTTTTTTTTTTTGCTGAAGAAAAACTTGTATCTTGTGCGCTGCTCTGTGCCATGTGGCCACGCTCATCCATCATAAATGGCAAGTGTGGCATCAGGAAACTTTTTCATTCTTAAACGACTGGGATTTAAAAGTATCTGTGCATGGCGTGGTGTTCCCAGATGGATGACTGTATGGATGAGGATGAGTGGTTGCTGGTTGGAGTGTGTAGTCACCGGGGTGTTGTGTGGGTGGCTCAGCCGGGTGCACAGAAATAGCCACAAATATGAGTGATCCCACACAATGATACTGCAGTACTGCTGAAGCCTCTGAACATGCTTTAATCTGTAAAAGAAGGCATCGATTTAGCTGGGGTGGTGAGTTTTATTCAGTTGCTGATAAAAACCTGTAGTGTGTCAATCAAGAGATTATCTTAATGTATAGCTAAATGTCATATAGTTTAACACTGAAAAGCTGTTTTAGTGTATCATTATTGCTTCCATTGACAAGATGCACTTTCTGGAGCAGCCACATTTATGGTGATGTCACTCTGAAGGCAAGGCACCCTGTTTGAGACAATGGACTGTCCTAGTTGATGCTCCATTGGGGAAGGGTCACTGTTGGCTCTGCCCATTAGTGCGGCAGATGGGATTGAAACCTGGCCTTTGTCAGCTGAGGAGCACCCAGCAGTCCCACCCCTGTCAGCGGGCTGTCATAAAACCCCAGTCAGCAGCACAGCCAGGGGTTAGCAGGGGATTGGAGGCCCCGCCACATGGATGGGTGGCGGCAGCGTGTTCCCTTTTATTCCATATTAACAGGCCTCTGTTTGTCATTGTGGTCCCTTTTTTATACAGTATCTTTTTTATGCACAATACAGGGCATTAAACCATAGTGGACAATGATGGATTATTAAAATAGCATTAATAGTCCTTGTTTCATTCATTGGTTTACATACACCGGATGAAAAGTTGAAAGAGGCACAAGAGGCTTTTCTTAATATATTAAATGCTCATTCGAAGAAGAACTGAGTGATATGTTTGAGATCAAAATGTAATAATTGGTGGGATATTTAATGCTGAAGATTAGTTCAATTTGTCTATCAGAAAATCTCTTTGGTGACATTTTAAACGTCTTGTTTTGTCTTCTCAGCAGTCTGAAGCAGTCCAGCTGCTAATGTCAGTTGTATTCAAAGAAATTAGCATTGTTGTGCGTCACTCAGAACATACTCTTCAGACATGTAAATGCATATTATGTTGATATAAATCCATTCAAAGCCAATTAATCAGGAGAACCTCTCACTGAGGGTTTGGTTGAAAATTGCTACAAAATGGTGCAACATTGAACAGATTTTTTCGATGAGAAGAATCAAAACTGTGATTTCTGGTCTCAAACCTCATCATGAAAGAAAAAGTGACTTTAAGATGCAGGAAGACAAACAGAGTGTTGTGTGTGTTGTTTATGAGCCACTCAGAAATGAGATGAGGTCAAAGACCAGTGACCTTTTAGTCAATGTTGTCAAGTCATGTAAACCAATTATGATCTGAAAGATGAACAAGCGACTGACATGCATGACAACTTGCCTTTTTTTTAGGCTTTTTTGTTAAGATGAAGGTTTCCAAAGGCTTTACCTGTCATCTGCACAGAGCAGCACTGGGTCAAACTGGGAAATACAAATCTTAAGGCAAGATGAACATGCAATCTTTAAAAGAAACAGTTGTGATCACTCTTGAGAAATACGATTTGTTTAAAGAACATTATGATGTAAAGGAGATTATTTCAATGGAGCTGGGCTTTAAACTCTGCACAGATGACTTCCTCTTTTATGTGGTGGGTGTGTGTTTATGGGTGTGTAATATCAGTGTTCACTTCTGAAAGGTATGGTTCAATGAGTTTTGTGGTTTTGAGTACTGAGTTGTATCTATCAGGTGGTCGATTAACAGACCAGCCTTAAAAAAAAAAAAAAAACAGCTGCTCCAGCCGTTTGCCAGTCCACCCTAGCATAAGTGGTTTATTGTTTATTGGCTGAACAGATGCATCTTTTGCATAATTCCTAGTAAACAGGAAGATGAATTGTACAATCCAGGCTATTATTGGGGCAAAAAAACATTTAACATTTCCTTTCAAATACATTTCCCCCAAAGTAATAAAAACTCATCCTGACATCATTGATCCGAGCAGATTAGCCTGTCAGTTTCTAATAGTTAGCTCGTTGATTTATCAAAGACAAGTTTTAAGAGCTTTGCCCCTGAACATTAAGAATTGGCCATGAGCCAGAGACTTATTCATCTCGGCAAGTGAGACAGCGGCTCTCAGGTTTATGTAGGCGAGATACAGAAGTTGAGACATATCATACTCGTGCAGCAGTTTAACAAAGGAAGATGTTGAATCTTTTCTAAGCAGAAATATCATCTTATTTATAATAATACATTTGCTCCACAGCGGTAGTGTTGATACAAGCCATTCACCGATGTATTTTTTTATCCATCTTTTTACATGTATTTTACTTACTGATTGATAAAGTATACCCTTTTTAAATAGTCTGTCGATGCAGTCATGCTTTTGAACACAGTAGTTCAAGGACTCCCATGTACTAAAAGTGATTTTTCTTTGATAATAGAGGTTTCATAAGCTAAATAATGAACCCATACATACAAAATGTTCTTTGAAGTGGTCAGGTTGTGTCTCTGTTGGAAGCAGAATATCAATCACTAATCATCCTTTAGATCAAAACCAGTCTTTAGTCTCGCTTAAAACGATTAGTGGTTTCATTCATTGTCCACCTATATGCAGATGAAACCATTTACATCATTGGAGATTTAAAGCATTCAGTCAGTGTCCAAAGTAAAAAAAAAAAATCCATGTCTCTGTGTTTGTACTTGAAACTCCTTGTGATTCAGAACTGGAGACAAGTGTGAAGTCAGCCAGGGTGGGAAGAAGAGCACAAGTGATTGTTTTGGTGACAAGTTGTAGAAATGATCCCAATGTACTAGAGGATATTAGATTGATATGTCTAATCTGACTTTTTTAAATGGTTGTTTATTTGTCGCTTTATTCCTGGTTCTGAAAATGGGTTGTCTAGTTCATGTTTTTGGAACAATTAAAAAAAGTGAATCACAATTACGTCTCAATTTCAGTGCAGTATTTTACTTTGCGACACATAACCTTACATACCTTTTTGTTTTCCAGACTCTCCGGAGCTGGTGACCACTGCCACACATCTATCTGTCACAACCATCAAAGCTTACAGTCACCATGGAGCTAGACTTTGGACATTTTGACGAGCGAGACAAGGCGACCCGTGCCCCACGAGGCGGGCGTCTGAACGGACTCCCCAGCCCCACCCACAGCGCCCACTGCAGCTTCTACCGCACGCGCACCCTGCAGGCCCTCACCAATGAGAAGAAAGCCAAAAAGGTGCGTTTCTACCGCAATGGAGACCGCTATTTCAAGGGCATCGTGTACGCCGTGGCCGCCGACCGATTCCGCACCTTCGACGCGCTCCTGGCCGACCTCACACGCTCGCTCTCTGACCACATCAACCTGCCTCAGGGGGTCCGCTTCATCTTCACTGTGGATGGCGATCGAAAGATCTGCTCTATGGATGAGCTAGAGGAAGGTAAGCATATGTAGTAGGATGCACCAAGCACTTAATATATCTGATTAAATTAGATTTCATTTAGCTGACGTCTCAATCCAAAACGATATGCAATAAGCAATTAAGATACAACCTCAGAACAATGAGAAAATTGCAGATATATTCGCTTCGTATAACACAAACCATTGTAAGTCCTGTTTTCTTTGTGAAACAGGTGGGTTTGTTCCCCAGTGGAGCAGCTGTAGTGAGTTAAAATTGAGATGCTATAGGCCGCCACATCAAAGATAACCTTCAGTTTTAGATCAGTTTCAGCACAGAAGATTTTCAAGCAATTCTGAGATTAAAAGTCTTATCTTTGCTGTCTAGACTCCTGTAAGCTCTTCATACGATGCATCAACATCATTGTTTTCTTTAAAAGTATCCAGTTTCAAGGTCCACTTCTCTGTGGACAATTTTGTTTGGCTATTAAGAAGAAAAGTTTTATAAAAATGTCTTAAACACAGAGAAATCCAGTTAGGACTCGACCTCAAATAGACTCATTGGTCTCTGGCAGTGGTTCATACTGAGCTGAGGAGTCAGCTCTCTACCGCTCAGCATGGGATGAATGGTTCATTAACAGATGACATTAGCATCTAATTCATTAAAGAAACCTCCAGCCACAATTTGGGAGTGTTATTACTGTCGAGCGTCTCCATCAGCATCCATTCCAACAGTGGGTGGAAATTAAAACTGCACCTTTTTTTTTTTTTTCATCTCTAGTGAAAAGAAAGGATTGTAATGCTTTTACTCCAACACCAATCAATCGAATGTTTCTCAAGGCTAATTAATAAGACCCAGTTAAATGACCCAACTTTAAGTCCTGGTCCACTTTTTAAGATCGTTCTAAATAAGTCTGACCGAGGGAATTGGGGAAAAAGCTTGACGATAAACTGCAGCTAAATTTGTTCGAATTGAGACGATCATGTCTGCTCCTTGAGCTGCTTAGGAAAGATGGGAGTGTGTGTGTGGCTCTGTGCTTCCCTGAATGTGTGTGTGTGGGCAGTGCAGTAAGAAAGGGGCAGCACAGTAAGCACTGTGGGTGGTGGGGGGGGGGGGATTGCATTGTGCTTCCTCTTGTGGGATATAATTAATTGCTCAATCTCTGCACTATGTAATCCTGTTCTCTGCCTTTTGTGTTTGCTGTAATTTGTCCACATTTGGCCTAATTGTTGCCTTCTAGGTTCCCCTTTTGTCCAAATGTATCTCCTATCTCCCCTGCTGCATTGTGTCTTTACTTTAAATCCACTCCCTGTATGAGCAAGAACTGCTCTAAAGATAGTGAATTGAAGAATGGCGACGAAATGGAAGATTATTTTGAGAATAATATGAAGTTGGGCCAAATTTGGAAATGTTTAGACGAAGACATGCATGTGCGAGCTGCAGCAAAGTTTGTAAATGTACAACACCATATTTTTCATTATTTCAGACGTCTTATTTAAATGCTCATTTTATATGATTTTATACCCAAAAATAGTCTATAATGCACTGACATGAAATCTGTTCAGCCCATCCCAAAAGGATTTAGTTTACTTTAGCTCACCAATCATTTTCAAATCACAAAGAGTTTCCATCCTGCAGTGCCATTAAAGCAATAGGGATGAAAAGCATTAACTTGTGGTAATCCAAGGGTAAAAAACCTGGTAACTGAAAGCCTGGCTGTGAAAGTGTTTCTTATTGACATCATAAGCATTTTCCTAAACAAAACCAAATTATTCTTAGTTGCGACATCATTAGATCAATGTCAGATGATATCCAAACTGTGAAAGCCCAAAGATTCCCCCAGTGGTCTTGATATCTCATCATTTGAGTTCCCGCAGTTTCAAATGGTTGAGTGGACGCCTCTGGGAGTCTCAGGTGTCAACGTTTTATAGATGTGTGTGTGTGTGTGTGTCTGTGTTGCAACAAACGAAGCCAATTTCTCTTTGCCGTCACAGGGGAAAGCTATGTGTGTGCATCAGAGAACGTGTACAAGAAGGTCGACTACACAAAGAACGTCAACCCCAACTGGTCCGTGAACGTAAAGGCCTCCGCGAAGAGCCTGCTAGCCTTCGGAGCCAGAGGCGGCAATGGCGGAGAGGGCAAGGACTTTGTTCGACCCAAGCTAGTGACGGTGATGCGCAGCGGCGTGAAGCCTCGCAAGGCTGTGCGCGTCCTGCTCAACAAGAAAACCGCACACTCATTCGATCAGGTGCTCACCGACATCACAGAGGCCATTAAACTTGAGAGCGGCGCGGTGAAGAGGATCTACACACTGGATGGCAAGCAGGTATGTCTCACCTCACCTTTAGCCATAGCCCAGCTTACATCATGCTCTAAGTTCAAAGACTGTTGCATGTGTCCTGCAGACCAGTTGCATATGAAAAGCTATATCCAAATATACCACACTGCTAATATCATGTTTGTCTGCATTTGTTTAATGTGGTTTATGGCCATCTTTTGATAGCATTAACTGGAACAAAGGAGGTACTGTGTGTAAGAAAAGCTGCAAAATCTGTGGTCAAGGTTAAAGACAGTTCATCATTCATACAGCTATCCGGATCAAAGCAAAGAAGGACACGAAATAATTTGCTTTGGAAAAAGAAAAAACACAACCTCAAATAATCACAATGCATCTTTCAACATCAAAACGAACACGGTAGATAGAGGTAGAAATGCTCCCTTCGGTCAACAGAGACAGAGCAGGTCCATGAGAACAACCTGTGTGTACACTATGACCTTCATTGTCTGCAGTCTTTATTCAGTCAGGGGCAACATATTGTCCTGTCTTGTGGTTCAGGTCATCAGTATCTTGTCGACCTCCCTTTTGTTGTAAAGTCGTTTTTTAGGCCATGAGACCATCAGCCATTCAAAAGTCCTGGGAAGTTCTGTCTTCCATCCGCTGTAGTATTGTACAAACGGCCAAACCCTGTTTTGATGTGTTGATCATTTTGTACCCATTGTTACTCTATTAAGAGTGGTTCACGCATTACATTACATTGCATTTAGCTGACGCTTTTATCCAAAGCGACTTACAATAAGTGCATTCGACCAAGAAGATACAAACTTGAAGAAAACATCATATAAGTACATCAGGTTTCATAGAGACAAACCATTTCAAGTGCTACTCAACAGGCTTTAGATAAGCCAGTCCTTTGTTAGTATAAAGTGCTTTGTTAGTCATTTTATCGCTCAAAGTGGAGACGAAAGAGATGAGTTTTCAGTCTGCGCCGGAAGATGTGGGGACAATATGGGTCTAGGAAACCTTTTTATTTTAACATGTGAACCTAACTAGCACAGTGAAGCTAGGAAACGTACAGTACTCAACCTTCAATCCTTAAAGCTACCTGAGAATCCTTGATGTGACTTTTCTTGAGCTTATAGAATAGAATAGAATTGGGAGGGATGAAACCCTCTTTAATGGTCACACATGCAGAGCACACAGCACACACAGTGAAATTTGGCCTCTGCTTTTAACCCATCCTAGTACAAGGAGTCTAGTACTAGGAGCAGTGGGCAGCTATTGTACAGCGCCCGGGGAGCAATGAGAGTGGGGGGGGAAGGGGGGTGTCCGGTGCCTTGCTCAAGGGCACCACGGCAGGGCAGGAGGTGAACTGGGACCTCTCCAAGTAGAAGTCCACACTCCATATTTAGGTCTGGTCGGGGACTTGAACCAGCGACCCTACGGCTCCCAGTCCAAGCCCCTACTGACTGAGCCACTGCCGGACCATTCCGGAGCTTCTGAACATTTTTAGAATAAAGGATGTCATGCACATTGAATTTGAGTTGGGCATGGTAGAATATAGGCTAGCTCCTTTTTAAAAAAAAAAAAAAGTCTTTCTTGCCCAACAGATATTACTGTCGATTTTTGAAGAAAATTGCCAGTTTCCTGTCCTCAGACTGCCCCAGCGACAGTCAATCTAAAAAAGGCAGTGTGTTCTCGGGTTGAATTTCCATTTTGAGAAGATGAGAATCAAACTACAGACATTTCATGTTCCACAGGATATAGGGCAAAGTGTCTTTTAGAAACCTTCAGGATTCTTTGGGGTTTAGTTAACGGATCATTTGGTTTGTTACCAAAAATAAACCGGGGCACTAGAATCCACAGAAGAAGAAATATCTGATTTCTACAGGCTGGCTGTGGGTAGTAAACATTTGGATTAACATAGACGTCTATTAGAAACTGACCCTACCTCTCACCTGATTTTTTTTTTTTTACCATTTTCCTAAACAGTTTCGTGTCTTCTCCATTTTGTATCTATTGGTCCCATTTAGAGTAAAATGAACGATAAAGTAGTGTATTTGTCTATCCTGCCGTTATGATAAAGTGCATTTTATTTGATACAATTTAATATATAGTCTAGTACCTCCAACCACTGTCTGGGACGCAGCTTAAGTTTAGCTAAAACAAAAGCATAATAGTGGCAAAAGCCGATCTACTAATCCATAAGGCACACTATGCTTTAACTTTGCCTGAAAGTCCCTCCCTGGGGGAGACTATTGTTTCCTCAACACACTGGCTAAGCTTAAGGGACATCATGTTTTATTCATTGTTAGCTTTATTGGAGCAGTCGCCATGCAGGGTCACCCACCTGGAAGACTGTGTAAAGGTCTGTGAGATGGACCGTCTAATGTGTCCTTTATATCAACTTGTGCTGCTTTATAAAGAAAGAAATAACCTCAGAGGTAGCAGTGTTTGGCCATTCAATACATATCGTTTTCTGACCTTTTTGACTACAGATCTATATTTTCTCTTGATAAATTCACACCTGTAACCAACTGCACATATCAAATACCTGCTATCCAGACGATTGTGAATCCCAGTTAATTAACGGAGGCGGGGATGTGGAGCAGGCGTGGAATCATGTGTGGAAACCAACATGGACATCTGTTCCTCAGTCCTCTCTTTGATATGGCTAAATGTTTGCTAATTCTCCTGTGGGGACCTTTTTTGCTGTATTATTCATTACAGATGGACTGGGTATTGTGCCCTGCTGAGCTCCTTTAGGTGTTGTCCTTCAGTTTTTTCCTCTGTGTTAATAAGGCTGAAATCACTTGTGTCTTGGAGGAGGGGAGGGGCGCTGAAATGAAAGATGAGGGAATTTTGATTGTAATGCTCTCTCCCTGAGGAGCAGTCTGTCTGCCTGAGGTCTTATACACCGGTATTCCTCTGAGCACGCTGGCTAAGATAACCTTTTCTTTCTTTTTGCACTCGCCTTTTGGCATACATTTTATTCTTATATTTCAGCGTTTTTATCTTTGATTGTGGTTAGGCTTGGTTCCTTCAATTTTTCCCCATTGCATTTTTAATGATGATATGATTCCACAAAATTAACAGCCACCACATGGCAGCTGCTTAAATCTAGCATATTGATTAATTTGTCAACAGTGTGGATTTAGATGAATTATATTATGATGAGTGTCCAATCGCTGTTGGCCTCGTGCCAGTTTCACTGCATTGCACAGAAATGTGAGAAATGCAGCACACGTTATTGTGCAGCCTTTGTGTGAGGCTCACTGCAGCTGCTCTGTGGTGGAGGTGATATGGTGGAAAGCAATATTGATGCAGTGCCCGCCCCTCCCTGCCCGATCCTCCTCTTCCCATTCCGTAGCGATAGCTGCTGGGACCGGTTGCTAGGAGACCACATCCCAGGCACAAAGAGAGCCCAGCTGGTGTGGACCGGTCTGTCAGATACCACATCCTGTAGCGGGTGTGAGGGGGCACTATCAATGCAAGCCTCACATGTCATGTCTCTTTACCTGTATATGCATTCCATCATTGGGTGTGGGGCCGCAGTGTGTGGGATCAGGATCAAAGGATCGCTTTGTTGGCGCGATAAAAGGTGATTTAGGTTTTTATAGCATTTTTTAAAATGCCTTCTTGGTCTTCCTTTTTTTCCCTCAGCGCTTTGCAGACTCTAAAGACAGCCAGCCTGCCCTCCTCTCTTTGTCAGAGTTGTGAACATAATCACTCCCATTTCCCCTCAAATGCTGCTGCTTTTCACTTCAAACAGGAAGGGTGGGGCCGCTGAATTCATTATCCACTCTGAAAGCAAATTAGGATCATTTACATTTCGATGATTAGTAATAGTTATTCCCGTGCCTAAAAAAGAAATAAGTACATTTCTTGATTTGCCCTCACTGCTTTAGAAGGCCACATTAAATCAGTTTATTCAATTCCTGGCAGCCATTTTGTATGAATGTCTATTTAACAGAGGTGTCTGCATGGGAGAATAGTTCTGATTTGCATTTAGGATCAAGTGCTTGTTCATTTGAATTGCACTTTGGCATGTTTTTCGTCTAATAGATGCCAAATCCAAATGTCATTTGTGAAAGATGTTGAAGGAACATTGTGTTGCGTTGAGAGTCAGCAGCATGGAAGAGGTCTCTGTAACGTGCCCATTATTCTGACCGGGGTTTAGAAATGGGGCTTGCATTTAATTCCTTTAAAAAAAAGAATTGTCAACAAAGAAAAAGAAACCTCGGGCACAAGGTCACACTGCCATTGTTGGAGAACAAAAGACTCCAATTTGCTTTAAAAGTGAATAACGCACGGTAAGAAATGATTGGGTGAATAGGATATGGATAGAGGCATGGATTTAAGGCTCCTTAACGACTAAAATACATCCAGTAATGGGGAAGAAAAGCCTGCCTTTCTCTGGTTATCAGTGCTCTCGCAGTCTGCCTGCTCTTTGCCATGCTGCAGAAGCAGTTGTCATGGCAATAAGCTCCGCGGTGATGGATTCAGCTTTTGACAATGGCTGTAATACGCTGAGTGTGCTCTTTACATCGGGTCTTACCTGCTTGCTCTCTGTTCCTCAGCCGTCACCACAGATCACTGCAGCCACATTTCACTCACACACACCCCCCCCCACACACACACACACACACACTGTTGAACAGACGCAAACAATCAGGCTGACAGAGGGGCGTGGCACCCCTGATGAAGCATCTCGAGCAGACATGGAAGCCTGTATGCGTCTTCTGTGCCCCCCCCCCCCCCCCCCCCCCCTCCTGTACAAGGACCACATCAACAAGTGAGCATGACCTGGGGGGAGGGGGAGGAAGTACAATTTAATAATGCTAAGAAGACCACATCCGTCAGCCAAATGGAAAGCCTGTTTCCTTGGGGGTTGGGGAGGGGGGGTGGGGGTTGGGGGGTGGGGGTTAAAACAACATCAGGCACCAGCTGCTCCCTATGACTGTGCAGTTATCGCTGGCTAACCGGCTCATCTGGGCTCCAAATGCATCCGGAGCACCTACAGTAGCACACAGACTCTGTCAGATCACCAAGGTCACAGATGGGTCAGAGAGGAGAGAACAAGCCTCATCAGAGTGAGACGAATCACTGCTGCTGCTCAAATAATGGCTTCCTTTGTCTTTTGATATACTGCATCTGACTTTAGTCGCCTAATAAAAGCTGTTGCTACAAGAGTCCATTATTTTAGGCCATGATAGTCTGTGAAACCCTCAGTTGAAATGGACAAAATGGAGACGCTGTGTGTATTTCGGAGGAATATTCCACTCGGTGCGGAGGTGCTGGTATTGATCAGGTCTGTGTGCCTCCAGTGAAGGAAATGGTGTGGGAGTTTCCCCATGGGCCGGCAAAGCAAGGTCTTACTGGCTCTTTTTCAGCCTTTTATACTCCACTTCTCTCTCGCATAGCTCAGTAATGATGAGACTACACAATGTAACATTCAAAGAAAGCTAACGGTGAGATTTCTATTATGCATATTTTTTTCAGTTTTGAATTTATTCAAATGCTCTGACCTCAACCTCATGCCATCCCTAGAGTCTTATAACATAACATACAGAAAACACAGTTACATAGAAAGTGCTGCAGTGTATAATACAAAACCCCTTTCATAAGCGAAATACCTTTTTTGTTTCAGGGTTGCGGCAGAATGAAACCCCTCAAATTGACCTGAGATTATTATAATTAGTATCATTCGATTCTATTGTCTGGCCATTTGCTGACTCGTTAACACCGCTGGTGAGCCTTTACAGTTGGTCAGATAAGCACTGATTAGATGAGTCACAACAGAATCTGCATTATGCAGCATTAAATAACAACACTGCTGCACACAGATCAATTAACACGCTGTGTGGAGTCAGAGATGAGACGGATAACAGGCCTGGACGATAATTTATGTCTGCTCTGACTGTGCTGCTGGAAATATGAAGTCAAGACAAGCCGGAGCCTTTTTTTGAATATGTTTCCTGCAGCTTCACACACAAGATATGGCAAGAAACTGCATTTATATTGGCCTGAGACATTTGTTTTTGTTTCACAAGTTGGCATTGATTTGTTTAAACAGTTTGAGTTACATCTGGAATGATAGCCTTTATACACAAATATAATCAGACAATATTCAGACCGTCTCAGCAAGGGTAGTTGTGATTGTTTAATGTTTAATGATATTGAATACTATTGGTACCATACTCTATGGACCATGTATCATATTAACTCTCTTATCGGTGATACTGCATGTGGTTAATTTCACTGTGGCTTTTCCATGTTGGTTTAATAAATGATAAAAGATCAAACATCACACATCCAAGGTTATTCCCAGACCTTTTTCTGCTTTGTAGAACATATTATCGAAATGAAAAACGGTTCTATAAGCACCATAGAGAGGACCTACATAACTTGGAAGTGAAGTATTACAAAGTGTTGAATTTCTATTTACCTCTCGACTACAATGCCCTAATGACCCGTCTCCGGCCTGTGGACAATCGTCCGCAGTCGGGCCAAAAGAACACTCTGAATAATTCAGTTGTTGTAGTTGGGGGATCCCTGCATAGCTGCTGGTGGTGTTGGTGGTTTTTGGGGGGGTCATGTGGTCCGGACAGCTGGTGGGGCACAGATTAGGGATGGGCTTGGTGGGACAGAGGGTGGGGGGGGGGGGGGGGGCACCTGGAGTCTGGAAGGAGCCAGTTTTTCAGAAAACCAGCCTTCCAACAATAAACACACAAATCTATGCCTATATTTATATGTCTATCAGTGAGGTGTCAGAAGCATGTGCAGTATGTTAATATGCCGTATGACGGGGCTTCTGATAATCTGGTGGCATTATGTCGTCTTTTACTGCCCTTCTACAGTCCGTTGCCAGTATTATGACGCATTTGACTGACCTTTTCAAATTGAGAGCGGATGCTTCTCAACCTATATCCAAATGTTTCCAAGCGGACCTGCCCTTTCCTCACTGCAGCCATGTTTCAAAGGGACTCTGACATTTTACATTTGATCTGATCGCATGTTAAACAGAGCGGTTTTCCACAACATTTCTATCAACTTTAGACAGACGTACATTACACACAAAATACATTTGTGTTACTTTAAACATTAACTCATGATGGGCATCCCATGGGATAAGAAAAACAAATGTTGATGTTACTTGGAGTTTTTTAAGGGACACATTTAGAATGACTTGTGGTCTTAATGACGCAAAGAGCACCGATCAAGGATCTGATCTGTAATTGTACAGATAATATGGATCTAATGGGACCCCTGTAGGGAATAGGATTAAAAGGATTGCTTAAATGCAATGTTTTTTGAGAAGATTACCTAAGCAGGATAGATGCTTTCTGAACCATGGGGTTAAACTCATGTCGTGTCATCCGGTTTCTTTGAAAAAAAAAAACCCTCCTTTTTTTTTCAAGTATTTATTTTGCATCTCATATAAGTTAAGTGGACAGATTTAATGTGATGAAATAAAGTAGCGCTGCCTGTCAGGATCCAACAGAGACGACGGAGTGTTAGTTTCTGGTAAAGAGATTAAGGTAGCAGTCGGTTGGATAAACACTTTATCCCTTTAATCAGCTCTGTTCTTAAAGCTATTAAAACATGGACAAGCCTCCACCCCTTTCCATCTCCTCTCCTCCACCCCCGCTGGCCCTGTGGGGGGGGAAAGAGCGATTTGTTAATGCTTCCATCTTCTGATTAACTGTCAGGTGCCCTCGTTGCCCCACAACAGTTTAACCTAATGAAAGTAACATGTATCTAATCTCTTGATAATGAACACAGAAGAAAGAAGAAACGCATTTCCGGGCCTTTTTAAAGTAGGCTGTAAAACCAATTAGATTTAGCTCCCTGGAGTCAAAGCCCGCGCTCTATGCCTCGGCGGGATCTCTCAGGCCTGTATCCGGGGAATCTTGTGGGACTCAGAGAGGGGTACAGCTGTTGGATGCCTCGCCTGCGAGTCACCAACACACACTTTTAGCATCTCTAGCAGGACGGAGAATCAACATGGCAGCTGCTGGGGTGGGGAGTTCCCAATTTATCTGCAGCTCATAGTTTGGATGCGTATCACAAAGGAAACCGTAATGCATCTTGACTATTCTGGCGGGCGGCCCAACATGGGGGTTATCTTTGTGCCATGCACCCCTGCAGAGAGACCAGCAACAGTGTGTCTTGAGTTTTAAAAAACATTAGCCCCAGAAGTAGCCAAGTGAATAAAGACCGAGTGAATCCTTCAGTTCAATTAGTTCATCTGACACAATCCAATAATTCAAGTGAGGAATAACAAAGTCACTTGGTGTTGAAAGACAAACTGGAAATGAGGCTTTGAGATGCTTTGTAACAAATCAAAAAAACAAAACAAGCACAGCTTTTAGCCTGAATGGCTTTAACAGGCGTGCCTGAGCTGGTAATGGCGCCTGTATAATGGAGAGTGGAGGAGAAGGTGTGGCCCACAGACATCTGTCCACTGAAGCCATATTGTGTTAACAGCTGCTATAGAGTGAAGAAGACCCCGGGGAAGGAAGTCGAATCATTTAAACACTACAGAAAAGATGTAACATGATCCTCTCTGTTTTGGCTTTTCTCTGCCTTTGTGTGTGTGTTTTGTTAAATGCACCTAATATAGCTGAAGGTATGTTAACATGGCAAGTCAAACACAAAGGTGGCATACTGCTACCTGAAGCCGACTAAATCCTTTTGGCTGCCATACAAGATAGACTTTACACAGTTAATTCATCCACATAATGCCGTGTGTTTATAGAGTTCAATTCATTACATTAAATGTACTAATCTTGTACCATTTACTTTGTCTGTTTCCTGTCTGAGTGAGCACAACACTTCTTCTCTTGGCTGTATTGATAACGCTTTGCACAAGTCCTGAATCAGCATTTAAAAATGAACATTATTAAATGATGAGTAATAATAGGACCAGATGAATATAAACAGATTGTCCTTTCTTGGCACACACTTGTTCTGTATCCCTCACATTAAGTGCACTCAAGGCATTGGTTAGCAGAGATTTTTAGCCATGCTAGCATGTCAACAACCATCACATAGATTGCCATGAAATGTGTTACAAATTCATTTCCCGCTCAGGGTAAATTCTCATAACTTTGGGGATTTCTTAACTATCATCTCTAGTGCCATCACCAGGTGTACATTTCAATGTTCTTTAAAACTTCAAAGCTGATGACCTTCCCATCAGTGTCAGCTGTACTTTAAGTTAATTTGCAAATGTTTTCAATCTTGCAAAGATCTGGTGGATATGGTAAACATTATACTTGCCTAATATCCATATTTTAGTCATTGTGAGCATTTAGTACAGCAGAAGCTAGCATTGCTTCAATCTATTGTTTGCTTTGCTATGAAAGAAGTGTAATGCCAGATTATTAAGGGTCTAACGTTTCTGTTATCTGGCTCTACAGGTGACTTGCCTTCAAGATTTCTTCGGTGAGGACGATGTCTTCATTGCATGTGGACCCGAGAAATTCCGTTACGCCCAGGACGACTTCTCTCTGGATGTGAACGGTGAGACTTTACATCATTGATATGGTCACACATAATGGTGATTATCAGCTTTGTGCATTGTAAAACCATGGTAAACATAGAGTATGAGCTTTATGATTATCTTGCAGCAATACTGTATCAATCAAAAAACAATTCATTTGAAATCAAATGTGTAATGGAAAATGACAGCAACAACTTGCACATTAAAAGACTTGACTGGGCTCATATACTGTTAATGTTGATTTTACACATCTACTTAAAGTCTTGATGATAACATATTTTAGAAAAGGGATATAAAAAAACACCCTAACCTGTAACAATCACTTTGATTGATTTGATTCTGTTGGTTTCCCATATTGCATGAGGCCCCCTCAATGTATCAGTCATATTGAATGTGAAGAATAAGAAATGTCCACATAGATGGACAGCAAAATAGTTCCTGGGTTGTCGGTTATTATATCAGCCACCCATCAGGGGCTCTTCAGACTTATCATTATTATATTCACGTACAAAGCTGTGCTGTGTTCGTAGCGAGGAGCAACATGATGTATGTGAGAGGAAGGCAGAGCAAGAGAGAAGTCTGTTATCTGCAGCTGGCAGCAGGGGTAGGAAAAAAGGTGAAGAAGAAGGAGAGTCATTAATCTGTCTGGTGGCAGGTTTAGGCCAGCTGATCTGCTGCTGCTGATACTGCTGAGAAGTCGAGGAGAGAAAACGTGAAGCCAATCCTCCTCTTGCTGAGTCTCTGCTCCCGGCAGACCTGGAAACCCTATTTTTAACAACCCACTTCCACCCACACCTAATGTCCCCTCTTCAAATCATTCAGTATCTTCTCATTTACTTTCAATCTTAACACAGTGTCATTGTTCTCCCTTCATCCTGTCTCTTTCCCATCAGTCTCTTATCAGGATGAAAGGGTGGAGCAGGCAGTACATGTATAATGATCTTTCAGTGTACTCCCCCAGTGGTACCAAAGCTAAATTGTTTCATTCAGTCTTCAATAACCTTGGGGCAATGCTACATAAAATGGACGACAGTCTGAAGCGCCCAGACCTTACTGAGGAGTAGTGGAGTAGAGAAAAAGAGGGGGTCTGTCTGCAATATAGAGCACATGAACAAGATGATTAAAGGGGCCCTATTATGCCGTCGTCTCTTTCCTGTAGTGTGTTAAATAGGTTTTTGTGCATGTACATGTTCTGCACAGGCTCAAATCCGAGAGTTCCCCCCCACCCCCCCCCCCCCCCCCCCCCCCCCCCCCCACCCATGCCTGAAAAAACCTCCATTGGACTCGTTTTGTTTAGTTCTGTAACATATAGTGACATCACTTAGTAACCCTTGCGCTGCTATTGGCTAGCGCTCCAACACATTGTGTGCGATCTCTTAAGTGGTTGACCAATCACAACAGAGGTTCATCTAACCAATCAGAGCGGACTGGGCTCTGGTTTCAGACAGAGGGTGAAAAATAAAGATCTTATTGAACATTAAAGCATAGACATGTCACAGTAGAGGCACACAATACAAATATGACCCTGAAAATGAGCAATATATCTCCTCTTTCAAAAGTTGATGGGTAATGAGCATCCCAAATGAATGAAATGTTGTCTTTATACTTATAGGGCTGGACTTTAAATTGTTTTTTCTTCTGCTGACAAAATTACCCAAATAGATTTAAATCCCTTGTGGTTATTTTTCACACTCCTTATGTTAAATAAAAGACTGTGATGGACATGCTGGCAGAGAGGAGGACAGGTTAACCTGCAGCTCTGTTTAAGCAGCGGTGACATCAGTTGGAGGGAATCTGCGTGGATTGACTCAAGGCTATTTAAAAAAACAAAACCCTGAGTAGACGAGACAAGCTGCCACTCTGAAGCATTGTCAACACCGTGGTGGCACACCTTGCAAACAATGGCGCGTGGATGTCGACTGTATCCAGTAGTGTGTGAAGGTTAAGAGAGAGAAAAGATCCCCGGAGACGGAGGGAGGACAGATAGTATAATTAGCATCAAAAGTGGAAGAGAGGAGGGGGGGGAGGAGAGAGAGAGAGAGAGAGAGAGAGAGGGAGTCTGACAGCACAAACACAGGGGGAGATGCAAAGGGAGGAGTAGCAATGTCTGGAGTCTGTCTACCATGATTAATACACTGACCCAGAATATACTACATACTTTAAATGTATATAAATGCTCACTGCTCATCAGGTATCACTCTAATAGCCTGTAAACCCAGGGATATCGAGAAGGCAAAACAACTATTTACAGTGTGGGCTGCTTATTGTTCATTTAACCTTTTTAGAAACCCATATTTTCCAACCTTTCCAAAATACCCTACTTTAAGGATACTAAATAGTTTTCAACAATTGCATTTCTCAACAATTTATGGTGCCCTTTTTTTCACTGCTTGTGCTAAAACATTTGGGTAACTTCACTGCCTACCAACTCACCAACTGTACTATTTTAACCTGGTCACTTCCTTTAGGGCTGTCTTGTTTGAAATACACGAGTTCAACAAGCCATTCAGATTACACCAATCGTGCAGAAATAACATTCAGAAAGTGTCTCCAATAGCATATTTTTAGTAATTGTAAAAAACCTTTTCTTCTTCCTAGGAAAATGTACGCACTTACCTGTTTATCAGTAAAGTATCAGGCCTGTTAATTTTGTATTACTAATTGTACTTAGCCCTGTGGTACCTTGCCTGTTTTGTTATTTTATTTTTTCATTTTCTTCTGATTCCAAATATGAACACATGCAGCTCACACTTTCATCTTGGGAGAAGTGATGTTTTCTAACTGTCGTGTGTGCTTCTGTCCACAGAATGCAGGGTGATGAAGGCACCCAAATCCCAGCGTGGCTCCGTTAAGAGTCCTGGTCCGATCAGGCGCATGAAGTCTCCGACTGAATCAAGTGAGCACATTATTATCTCACCCACACTGCAACACTTCCTGTTTTGAAAATACAGAAGAAACTGACCTCGCCTTGTTCTAGAAATCAAAACAAAGAGAGCTGGTGGAAAATAAAACTAGGCCATTTCTGCTGCTGTACAAATAAATCAGACATACAAACAGCAGAGTGATGGAGAGAGCTGCTCCGTGTGTAGCTGACCTTGACCTTTGACCTTACTCTGTAGGGAGTTGTTAACATAAAGATAGGTTTTTTCCTCTAGGGTCAATACTATGATAAAAGATGGTTACAAATGACAATCGAGCATGCTTCCAATGAGCAAATTTTAAAGATGCTAATGAGAGAATATTCTTTCCTTATATATTTATTTAACATAATTGGAAAAGATCAAAAGGCAGAAAAATAGTTAAAATCCTTGTTCCTCTCTTTGTTGTCTTGTTGTGCTTGGAGGTTTTTTTTTCTGGGGGGTCCAAACAACATCAGCTCCTTTATCTCACTAAACACCCTCTAATACTTGAGAATGGGGACAGTCTTTGTTTATCGAGGGTAATCTGATGAGATTTAGAATAATGTTGTTATTGCAAATTCTGTAAACACATGAATAAAACATGAAAAGTAAACAAAGACTGTGCAAACTGCTTTTAGCTGTTTGCTCGACGATCACGCATTTTTAACATTTAATAGTATCCAGGAGCCACTAGAGCCTAAGAGACACTGGGGCCTGCTCGTGCTTGAATCTTTTATGTGAACAACAGCTTTTAAAAAAAACATTGCTATGGCTCTTTGTCACAATGCCGCTTCAGATTGTAAAGCTGCACCATGAGCTGGCTGCACAGTTGCTGCCATGAAATCTGATCGGTGCAGGCAAGAAGAAAAGCTGTTTTCTTTGACGGCTTCAACCATGAACACTGGAGAGGAAAACATACTTGAAAGTTATTGCATTCATTTTTTTCTCCTGTAAGCAGTTCAATTTATGGAACTTTTGCTCAACCTTATTAATTATCCATATTATTTTATTGCTATTTACGATGGCCAACCAACCGAGAGATGTTGGATCTTAAAGCCTGTAAAAGTATGAGCAGTGTTTTCCCAACACTTGGAAGACAATTATTAAATCCCCTGGAGGATAAATTCACAGTTTCTGTTTCATGCCACTTAACGTGATAAGTGAGGGGGAGCTCTGGCGTCTCGAGCACTGCAGGGTCCCTCAGTCCTTCAGCGGTCCTGAATATTTTATTGATTACTGATGGGGCTGATGGCCTTTTTAAAACAGCAGATGGTTGGGCTTCACGCTGTGGAGGCAGTAAACTGTTGAGCATGACCCACCTCTGTAACACCTGAGGGGTCAGCATGGTGAGGAGGAAGGGGTCCAGTATGTGACCTGCATATGTAAACTGGGATTAATACTGATCAATCAAGTTAATGGAATTCAATCAATCAAATCTCTCCTGGTGATAGTGATGCAGGGGTCAGGGCTTTTTTTTATGACCAACCCCCACCAAAGCTGTTATGAAAGCTAGTCTGCACCTCCTGACTCAGAAGTATATATTTAATCAACCAAAATAACCCAACCCACATTTGTGAAAGGTGTTTTGCATTAACAGATTATTGATCTGTTCACACAGATAATACTGAGACAAATCGACCTCCATATGAGACCTAAAGGGAGACAGAGAGCTTACCCTAACCCGCACAACTCGAAAAGCAAACTGCTCTATTTCCTGCTATGAATTTAGAGCCTCACATAAACAGAAGCCGCACAAAAGTGACAAAAAATGATTATATTTGGTATTAATGTTTGGATCACTATTAAAAAATACTGATTTCTAGTCAGATTAGTGCTAAATACACTCACTGTTAGTTATATAGTTATATTCGAAGATGAAAAACTGTAAAGTACTGCAGATTTAAATTGTCCTGTTATATGATAATTAATAGACTTAAGGTGCAAAGGTTTTAATGAAGTGAATACATTGAAAGTGTGTTTGGCATGGCCCTCAATGAAACAAAGTAATCTCCAATCAGTCCTCGCCACAGTGGAATGAGTTTTCTTCAGAGATGAATAAATCTCTCAAATGTAGGAATCTGAAGACAAAGTGGGCAACTTTGCAGTCTACAGAGAAAAGGTTACTCTGCCTACTCTGTCTGTTTCATCTCTGAATGAAACAGCTGCACTCTCTGTTCAGTGTGTGTGGGAGAGCTGCTCATGTTTAGATATACTGATTTTAAGATTCAAACATAATAGGACTTGTTATTTCAGGGTTTTAAACAGCTTGTAAAGTCTGCATTTGTAAATCTGGCTGAGTGGTTAAATGAAGCCTGTGGCATTAAGTTGGTTGACAAGGACGCGTTGTGTTTTGGCTCAAATTTACACTGACCATCTGGCTCATAGTGTTCACAATTCTTTTCATCTCTTCACAGACAAAACACTCTTTTTTAAAGCACTTAACACACACAACTTAGATATAAACACAATGTTCCACACAGACAGGATCCTAGCAACGTGGCAGGACGCAGAGCGAGTGAATAAAATGTCATCCAACAAACGGAGAGCTTGTCAGCCACCTTGAGACCTGGAGCGACAGCGTCCCGCTACACTGAAGCCAATTGAGGCCGCAGTTCAGGAGTGACTTTTCTACAGAGCAAAATAAAGAGTTCCAGGCTTCTCTTTCCAATCCACACTACTGTTTACCTCTGTTTCTCCCTCCCTCTCACCCTCTTTCCCTCTCGTCTCCCTCAGCCAACGGGACGGGCTCCAGCAGCCAGATCTCCACCCCGGTGTCCCGCAAGCATTCCCCCACCTCCCCCCCCACCAGCCCGGGCCACAACAACAAGCAGAAGGTACCCAGACTTCTCTCCCTCTACCTGCCATCTCTTTGCCCTTTTTTATCCAAAGTATATTTTACACAATACCATTTTGTTTTACAATTTTTACTTCTAAGGTGAGACACTAAAAGCAAAATCATCATCTTTTCATGCAATGGTCAAATTTGATTAAAGAGCCTCTAGTATACTTTTTGGGGTTTTCCCTTTCCTGTAGTGTGTTATATAGATTTTGTAAATGTTCTTCAAAGGCTAAAATCCCAAAGTTGATCTCCCACAAACTCCCCCCCCTGCCTGAAACGCTTCCATTGGACTACGTTGATTAATTCCGTAACATATGACATCACTATGTAACACTCACACATGTATTGGCTAGCACTCAAACACATTGTAAGTGATAGGCTAAGGGGTGGGACAGCTCTAGGCAGTTGACCAATCACAACAGAGCCGGCCAGTTGAACCTTTTTGAACATTAAATCATGTGAACATCTCACAGTAGAGGCAAACAATTAAAATATGAACTCTGTGTGTTTGCAGGATCTCTACTTGCCCTTATCTCTGGATGATGATGACTCTCTGGGCGAATCGATGTAGAGCGTCCTCCTGCCTCCTCTTCGGCCTGAAACACAGAAGTTTTTATACCTCTGATGCGTTCCACCTTCACTCACAGTGCCACCTGTTGTCTATGAGAACCAGTCTCTGTCTCTTTTAAGGCCTTAGTCCCCAGGGCTATGACACCATTTGCTGCTTGAGAATATCACAACCCCCTTTTCAATATGTTTCCTCCACGTTGAAAGAATCAGCTCACTGATGTTCAGATGTTTTTTGCTATGTGTCACTATTTCTCAACGCGGGCACACAGTCCACTGACCAGCAGATTTCACGGGTGTAAAAATGTCACTTTGGTATCCATTTTCTTTTTTTAAAGATTGCACTCTAACTTTTTTTATTTTGGTCACATACTCTCAAGCAGCAAATGGGTTTTTTAAAGGGTGTTACTCAACTTTTTCACTTGTATTCGTAATGTTCCTCCATGTCCTCCTGTCCTACAGTTAAAGGTGTGAAAGATCATTTTAAGAGGAAATCTGCCAAGCCAGATAAAGTCTTTCTAACCCGCTGTAAATACTGTGTATAGCTATCCATCATAACATCTCTGCCCAATTTCCATTGCTGTGCTTCCATAACGTCACTACAATGTCCGTCTAACATTAGCTCAACATGGTACAGGGTATGGTCAAAGTAAAAGAAAAACAGCCAACAAAACGAAGTCCCACCACAGAGGGGGAGTGGGATGCAGCTCGTGACTGAAGAGCGTTATCTGAAGCGCCCTCGACTCATATTCCCAACTGAATATATAAACCAGAGATTATGAAACCTTTTAAAAATGACACTTTTAAATGAATATAACGATGGAGGTCTCAAAATCCTATATTTGGCATTCATCTTGTCTAATTAGGGACGAGGATAAAATAATAAAAAGCATCCCACATGGCCCTCAGTGAAGTCTTCGTGTGGGTGTTTCCTTTATTTTGACCCTCCTTATAGAGATTAGGAGAATATACCCTCTGTGTTTTAGATTCACAAACTGCAGTGCATGATATTAATGAATGATGAAACCTAGACTTAAAGGACCTAATGGTGCATAAAAACAACCAAAGGAAAAATATTAGGCCTTTTTTTCATTTTCTTTTTTTAAAAGACAAATACACATAAGTCTAAAAAAGTCCCCTTGTTAGGCCCGGTCATCAATGGTGGTGATGTTTTCTAATAGAATATGTGAAATTCAAAGATTAATAAATGAAGGTCTCAAAGCCAAAGTATGATGTTCGCAGTACGATGATAATTTTTCGCCCAAGAGTTATAGAAAAGGAAAAATACCTAACTTCAATAGTTGTACAATTCTTTAAATATCCTTGAGGAAGCACACCTGGAGATGTATGCATGTTACTTTTAACGAATCAAAACAACGTTGAGATTAAATCATAAATTAGAGTTTTATCGGGTGCTCAAAGGTAGTGGGATCCTGTTTTGCATGGCTCGGCATAGTTCTCAGATGCAGGAGGGATGAAAATGTAACGGTTGTCTAAATCTATGTGTGGGTTTTCAATTTTTATAAAGTTTTATTAATTTATATCAAGGGTACTTTTCTAAGATTTCTTTCTAGTGTAACACTAGTACTTTTTCCAAACCTCTGTGTGAAACTTTCTATGGCCATATTTCTTATTTCTATCGTCACGACGTGCATCGTGTGTCTTACAAATCTGTCAAGAGAAAAGTTTCCTCAGATTTTTGCAGGGAATCAAGCCTGAGAATCGCTAAATTGGACGAAGCTGAAGCACAAAGCAGGGAGCTTCTATTTTATCACAGCAACAGACACTTTACCGTCTACTTGCCAGCATTTAATGCGTGACCACAATTCATTTATTAATGTATTGAAGATGAAATGCTGCACATGTAGCATACTTTAAATTAACATCTATGCATTTGGATTAAAGAATAGTTAACAATTGTCTGTAGGAAGGACCTTTTTATACCCAAAAGCATTAAGAGAAATGAACTAAAACTGAAATGTCCATTCAGGTAATCCATAGTGATAAAGGGACTGTCTGAAATGTGTATGTCTTTAGAAGTGATCAGGTGCCCGTCCTCTGGAAAAACTCTGAACAGCTGTGAACTAAACATTTCTCCTGCAGGGAGTGCTTTCACGCCAGCACAATAAAACATCAGCTAATCCAACAGCAGGGCCGCCTCACTCTGCCCTCCATTTTGTACAAATAACCCATTTGTTGTCAGTCAGTTCCATATAACCTCTCCATGCTAATAATGTTCTTGTTTCCTTGATTTTTCTAAGCTTCTTACAGCGCTACAGCATAAAACATAACAGAAAATGTCGTCTTGTGTTAACCTGCCTCCACCATCTAAGGTGGACGGTGTGAACTCATCACCTACAGTGGTGCCTTTTTCTTTTTTAGATGACTGTCTTTTGATAAAAAAATAAATAGAACAGGACATTTGGGATCTTTGTTAACCGCTGTTTGTAAAACATTTTTAAACGTCTTGAATGAGGACGCCTCCCGACACACTTTGTTTTGTAGAGCTACAGGACACTTTATCATGGTGTAAATACGCTCCCTCCTGTTCTCTTTCATATGTATGCCTTTCTGAGGGAATGAATGACTTTTTTTTTTTTATCTCTTGGAAATTTACAATGTCCTTTTTAGTGGTATTTTGCAATGTCACAGTGGCTTGTTTCAGTGCTTCATTCAATGTATTAACTGGTATCCTTTTGCAATTAAAAACAGTTGTATTTCACCTCTGGTCTTGAGTTTATTACAATCACAGCCACATGGCCATTGCTCTCAAATCCATTGAGAGGATGTTTAAATGGATAAAAATGGTTTTGTGTTCGTGTGGAGATCACTTAATAACTATTTTCATCACCATGGAAACAGGGAATCTGTCTCCCACATTTACAGCGGTGGCCCATCATGTCAAACACAGACTGAACTGTTTACACTGTCAATTTATTCATATTTGAAATGTATCACGCTTTGTATCTATATTATCAATATTTTTAACAATTGGCAAGCCAATTCAATCATGACATTCAAACGTGTTAACTCCCTAAAGAACAAAATACCTATGTGGGATATCTGCAGGGTTATATTTCATTTAGTTTGTTTTAATTGATACAAATATCATCCATGGATCAGTGGAAGTATATAACCATTGCTCCATAATTCAATATAGATGTAAACTATTGGTACAAACATTTAGCAGAATTAAAATAAGCTGCATTATGCATTATGCATGATGGTACCTCATGCTTCTGTATTTACAGTCAATATCACAAATACTGAGGACATTTTGACTAAATTGCTCACATAAGCACCCAATAATACGTAAACCCCCACAAGTATATAATGTGAAATATAAAAGTAGTGTTCATTTATAATCATCACATTCACAAACATGTGCCAAGTTGGAGTACAGAAGATACATTTAATTAAAAAAGTCTTACTATAGATTTCATTACAGCCCTTTAAGCAGTATAGCAGCATGTTTTTATTGTTGCATTGTGCTCTTCTCTCTGCTATAATAAACACTGACCAGAGTGAGTCTGGCGGCCTCTGGTGCAGGGCATTAAGTTCGTTTTTAGTTGAAAGACACACATTCAAGTTCTGCCATCTACTGGCAAGAGTTAAAGCTTCACATAAATCATTTAAATTCCATTCAAATTGACTTTTGACTCAGCGAAAATCCACTTTTAGATCAGCATCCTGCCAAACACAAAGAAGGGTAAACGGGAACTAAAATGTTATTATCAGTCACTATCTCCTGTAAATGTGCAATTAAAACTCTGTAAATGTTTAACAGAGGTGATGTCGGTTTTCCTACAATCACCCATGCAAAATCACCCTTTTTTAAGAGCTTAAAAAACATCAGCAGTAAAACTTTTCTCCATAACTGCCTTTTAAAGTTTCCACTGAAGTGAGTCTGCATGATGTCACAGGTCTGGCTTTTGTCTGGCTTTTTATCAGCTCTAATTAAACACACATTCTTCATCTTAAGCAGCTCCTTCATTGCTCTTTCATCATCTTGTTTCAAATGTATTTTAGGTGTAATGAAATATGTAATAACACTCAAAACAAACAAGCATGCAATTAGACAGTGTGCCAAAATGATCATTTATGAGACATGTTGTCATTTGATCTTCGAATGGTAACTATGGCGGGGAAAACACTTTTCATGCCAATAGTAGAAGAACAGCTAAGTAGAAAGAGGATTTGATATTGGTAGAAGAATAGGTCTGGAAAGGTCTTATCAATATTTGTGAATATGATTTAATCTTGGATGAATATGATAGAACATCCTGAGCATATTTGTTTAAATTGTTTACTTTACTATCTATTTTATCCTAGATAATATCCCCCTTGTTCCAAATACTTTGCTTTACGGTCAATCCACTTCCTTCTTGTCTGCATCCCTTTCAGATCTCATATCATGACGACATTAAGGGTTTAAGATCACTGACCTCTCGCTTCAAGAGAAATTGTTTCATGTTCCCAAATATTGGACGGACAGATATCTCTCGTTCACCCTTTCTTCCTGTTCTGATATAGGTCAAACACAGGACTCGTGTTAATATGTGGGACAGATCTCAGCTGGAGCACAAGCAGAAAGCTGTCAGCTCTTTTGTAACAGCGCAGTTAGAAGTGTTAATCTCTGCTAATAGCCCAAATATGCTGTAATCTCCCATACATATATATATATATATATATATACAACATCTCAATAAAATAAGAGTGCGATTCGCAAAATAAGAGTGCGATTCCTGAAGCATTAGCAGTGTGTTGGAAGTGCACAGTTTGTCCTCAGGGTGGCACCAGAGGAAGACACATGAGGTTATCTCTGCCTGGGAGAAACAAAAGGCATCTGTGGAAAGGTTTATTTTTGTGTCCTCATCACTGTTACATATTTTGTATATAAGTAGCTCATATTTTTTGGCCTGCTCATGGAGTGTCCAAAAGTGCACAAGTTCATCCTCAAGGGAGCATGAATGTTCTCATTAAATGTCATAAAAAGCTTTTTTTCATAAACATTTGGCCAGTAGATTACGGGGTATTTTTCTGTGAACCACAATCTGTTGAACCAACTGCCCAGAAAGATGAGATGAAGAGAAAGGGTTTAATAATAAATACCATTTCATGGATTTTCTTCTAACACATTGTCCCTTCACATGACAGCGGTGTTGTCACCAGGCACCACTCCTTCACCTTTCGTCCAAACACATTCTCCCTGCCTGTTTGACAGAAACTGTAATCTGAATCAACCAACAAGCTACTATTACAAAATAAAAACAGTGCATGGACAAACCTTTGCTTTTATTAAGCTCAAGAGGGTCATGCATGCTCTCTAGGAAGCAGGTTTTAAAGCCAGACTGAGAATTAAGGATTTTACTTACTTGAGAAACAATAACCATTAAAAGTGATGTACAAGTGACACTGGGAATAACATCATTATTAAATAAAAACAGACACTTAAAAAGGTGTTTTGAAATAAAAAAAACTATAATCTTTAATATATCTGTATCTATAATACAATTAATTGAAACTCCCATTAAAATATAAAGCAGCAACAGCTGTTTCATTTGGCCACTTCCGGGCTAAATAAGTGAGGCACATTGTGAAATTGGGCTGTTAGCATGAACCTGACTTGAGGCACGATTTATAAGATATTGATTTGACCATTTCATTATTGAAATATTTTTTTTAATATTTCGAAATACAGGGCCCAAAAGGTAGAAGAGATGTGATTGGCTGGCACTTATTTTTTTGTTTGTTTGTGAGCAACATCTCATAAGAGATACTGTCTAACTTGTGTAAAGTTTTCTGTGAACATACACTATCACGAGGAGACATTTTCCTCTCCCCTGGACCGTTTCCCTTTAGTGTCACCATGACACCATATTTTATTTTCCCTTTTAAACCTGTACTTTGCAATTAACTCAGTGCAATGTTGACTGTAAACGAGACAACTGTAGATTGTTAGCCTTTATTGATGGTCTTCTTTTTGAACAGGTATGTCTCCTACACTAGACATGTTTCTTCTCCTCCCAAACATGCCTTTTCTCACAAACTTGTGATCATATCTGAAACGTTGCAGTGGTCCTCTCAAATATCATTGCTGATCCAGATGATTTAAGGATGTTCTTCAATTTGCTCTTCTTCCTGTCTCTTTAGCTGTTGCAAGGATTTGACATATTGCTGTTGGCTCACTGCAAAAAAAGAATTCAAGTATCAAAGCTGGAGTTTTCCAGATAAGATTTGTCTCTCTGGGATACAAAGTGGCTTTTGTGCTCCTTAAACATGAAACCCAGACCATGAGAGCCAGTTTGTATTATTGCTACACTTCACTTGCAGCATGAGGATAGCACATGGCTTATAAATTATGTTGGTTAAATTTGACTTGCTTCTGGCTGGAAAAAAACTGGAAGATTTTATTGTGGTGGAATGTAACAAAGCACATTACTTCACCCCACTACAGTTCAGAGGGAAAGAGGGTACTTTTTACTCTACTATATTTATTTAACACATGATAAAACACGTCATACTGTATGCTTATATTATATGATTCAGTACTGTACAACAAATCTACCCAGAATTGTATAACATAACACTATAATACTGTGCTAAGACCCATTCTGCATATTTCACTTTTGACACTAAAAGCACATGTTGATGCTAAAACTTCTCTAAAGTAACATTTTTAAAACAACACAAGTATTGTAGCATTTTAGGACCGTAGTGTTTCTACTTTAAGTAAAGGATCTGCATACTTCTTCCACCTCTTGTTACCAGAGACAAATGAGACCAAACAATCCCACACTCCCACCTTTAATGGGAGTTTTCCCATGTACAGTAATTGTGAAAGATCAGACACGAAAGGGCAGGTTTCAGCTTGTTTCACCTATGAGTGGTTGGGTGGTGGGACTGAACTAAAGGTGTAACATTTCAGTATCCCCTTCCCTCCCATACAGTATCAGCATTAGCTTAGCACCTCCTGCTGCAAAGCCTGTCAGACCAGTTTTCAGGCAGTGTTTGTGCAGATGAACGTGTCTGGAAAAGCCCTGGAAGCCAGGAGTACACACTGGATTTGGTTTGAGAAAGGAGAAACAGATCTTAGGACAGAATAGCGGGGTTGATTTTAACACATCTAAAAGGAACCTAGTGAACATTGAATGAGTTTGAGCCCATCACTACAAGGACAAGACAGCTACAGGTGAGTGTTACTTTAAACTTTTTAAGTACTACAAGTAAGATTTCTTGAGTCAAGTTTTAACATCCGCGTGTAGTTTGATTCCCTGTGGTTTCATGATATTGGCTATATTTAATCTATTGTGCTTTTAACCATCATTTTAATACTTTCTTATTAGAGAACTTCCATTCCTCTTGCCTCAAAGCCTCACGCCTTTATAGGTGGTGTTTAACACATCTCTGAGGCTTTTAATGTTTTCATAATAAGTTGTTCTTTGGAAGGAATCAGTACAATCTTAACTGTGACATATTTAAACAAGGCTGCAGCCTGATAAAAACTTTGGAAATTATTATCTTTGATCTGATGTGTAAAACAATCTGAGCTTTTAACAACGTCCCAACAACATGCCAGCACGTGACGAAACGTCTGGAATGTGAGCTGCTGTCACATTTACACATACAACACAGATTAAACATAGCATTAACATACTGTAAATATGTCGTCATGTAGAGTTAGAACGAAACTTCCCCAGCGTTTAGAGCAAATAGGCTACC